ATGTAGGATAAATCCTCCCCATTTTTCATCTGACCTGGGAAGAATCAGATACTTTCGATGCCACAGCTGAGAATGTGAAGCAACTCTCAACGAAATAATTCCTCGATATTTTATCACAATTAACCTAAACATTTGTATTTAGTACCTGAATGGTATTATTGTTGTGTCAGTGCCGTTGCTGGCAATTCTTGTGCTCGTCATCGTATACATCCTTCTTCGATATACAACGCCACAACGTTTTTGTGAAAAGGTTGTATTTTTTATATTGCAAGACTCTTTGGCAGAGTTGAGTGGGTAAAAGACTAGGGGTTACATACTCTCGAAAATATAAAAATACAACTAGAGGTAAGACCAATCTAATGGTGAGAACTATTGATAGGACTCCTTTCATTTTAAACGTCAGGGCTTGACTATCCAGACGTTTCTTTTCAACGCAGTGTACTTCAGAAGGGGAGGCCTGCCACCGTGTCCCGGTGAGAGAGTTCGAGCATACATGACGTGGCCTGACCTCGCTAAGAACCCCCTCCCCCTTCCCCTCCATAACACATAGCACCTTGTCCTGTCCCCAATAGCTTTATCTACGTAGCTGTTGGAAAACTTCAACAGTAAAAAATGAAGTATCAAGAGTTCCTGGGTAAGGCAGCATCCAGACTTCGCGATAACGCGTCAACGCGCTGTAGGGCGCTGTGACGCGCTACATTTGCAACAGTTCTCCAATCCCATACCCACGAACGCAGCCGAAGACGACGAAAATCAATCGGCGCCGCCCCAGCGGTCAGAACCGATCGATACTAGACTGTGGGGTTAGACGTGTCCTCCACCTCCCCCATACTCTCAATATACAAGCGGCGCCAATCAAATCTCGTCTGCGACTGTAGTTGCGTCTATAGGATTGGAGCGCTGTTGCAATAGTAGCGCGTTACAGCGCGTCAGCGCGTCACGCTCGTCATCGCGGTGCATGAACGCTGTCTAATAAATGGGACATCAAAACTTCTCCGGTAGGATATGAAAAACGACGCACGAGTTGATAAATCCTACCACTCTGATCGGAAGCCCGTTTAAGTCAAACTTGCGAAGGTTTCTCCATTATAAATACTTTCAGAGGGACGACGACTACTACGAGCAGGATCCTGAAGGCTCTGCAAATCTTCGGTCGTCTGTTTAGAAGAAAATCCTATTTTATTCCGCTATCTTGTCGTTACTAAAGCGTTTGTCGTAACACCTAAATAAGAATATTTTTGTCAAAAGTCAACATTCTACATGTCATACAGCTATGAGGATGGGTCAAGGAACACGCGCTGTCCCAAAAAACTTCTTACAATTTATTCGTTCATAACTCGGAGGAGGCTTTTATCGGTCAGCAGAAAGGGGTGTATGTTCAGAGTGTTGGCATAAGAGGGGGAGGAGGGGGCGGGGAACATAAGGAATAATATAGCGAGGATAGATATATCATCATCATTAGACGGAATGGAGAAGAAAAAAAAGGCATTTTTGAATCGTCGAAAGGCATTGGAATGGGTGACCGTCAGGAAGATCTGAAATCACATCTGCAAAGTCGTAGAGAAACGAAATGGCAATCTCTATTTCTCGGATTCAGTCTCAGTTACAGTCCTCATCATTGCAGACCGGTGGGGCGGGTGAGCCGCGCTGCGTGTGACTCGGCTGTGACGCGGCAGCGATGACAGTCGCGTCACAGCCGAGTCACACGCAGCGCGGCTCACCCGCCCCACCGGTCTGCAATGATGAGCACCATACATTGAACAGTGTTTAGCACTAGCAAAACCAGGAGGGCGTTACTTGATGGTGACATTTTCGTGATTTCTTGCGAACAAGTCTGAAAATGATACGAAAATGATACCGTGGTAATTTATACGAAAAAGGATATTCACGCGCTTGGACGTGTGCAGAATAACTTTACGCGTAAACTAATGCTTAGATGTGGATGGGGAACTACTTGGGGATACCTAGCGGAACCAGTTGGTATAGCACTTATGGTTTAGAATCACTGCAGTGGAGAAGAAGTAGAATTGATTTGCTAATGGTCTTTATACTGAAAAACTTAGTCAAAATGAAAGCCGATGACTTTTTTCGCCTTCTAACTCGAGAGGAGCATCCATTAGACTCTCATCTATATATGCAACGACTCACCTTAGGTCTGTTTTTCGGTAACAGAGTATGCTCAAGGTTCAATTCCCTTTTGCGGAGCAATGTTTTACAGTTGAAGTATCAATCTTTCAACGACATGTGGGAGATTTTGTAGAGAACAAAACTTAGTTATAAATTGCTATACAGGATTTGGCTAAAAAGAAGTTGTGTTCAGATGCGCACTGGTTTTTAGTTATTTAGTTGTGTTCTATTTTATTTGTTGATTGTGCTTTTCGGTCAACGAATAAATAAAGTAATAGACAACAAATTTACTTGAAAACGTATATAATATGGGCACCGTAGCAAGTATTATTATTATTACAACCAACGTGATCTTAACCGAATAGAACTATGCAACGATAATATGATGAGTGAATAATCCACAACCATGCCTATGAATCTAAAAAAGTACAACATGAAGAAGAAAACAAATAATTATGAAACCCTGCACGAACACTTCACCTCACAAGCCTAAGCTGCCCTGGCATAAATTATGCAGAACATCATAAACACGTTTTCTATCTATACAATTATTCCTAATGATGAAGCCTGGCCCGATGATGAAAAAGAGGTGAACTGCTAGCGGCTCATTCTAAAAATGCGCCGTATCAGAATGGCAGCTATGTCAATTGTGCAATACTTAAGTAAACAGTTACTTTAGATATCAATAAATTCCGTCAAAATGAAGTCGAACACCAATGGATCTCGCTCACGCACCAACACGAAACAGTAGGTGCGGGGAGGGACTTCTTGCACTGCCGGCTGGAATCTAGCCGTGTGGACATACCAGTAATATTGGGCAAAGTTCTCACTTCGCGCGACGACGCGCTGCAACACTCCTAGTCTGAACGCTGCATCAGATGCGAAGCATGAAACTGAGCCATCTGGTTCCTCAAGACACATTCTGCGACTAAAAGTCATGTTCACGTGGTCAAATGCGTTTGTAGATGATAATAGATATATTAAAGAAAGAAAAAGCAGATAAAACCTTTGATAACGCACCGAGTAGAGACGTTCCTTTTGCATTCCAGCACTGGAAGAAAGCGAAATTGCGAACGCAAGCGAGAGACCAGAGACAAAAGATGAGAGAACAGAAAGACAAGTGAGACAGCAGACATGGCCTCACACAGATATGACAAACAGGAGCGTAACGCCGCCCGTCTTGCGGTGGGACAGGTGACTGAAGAGTGGGTTATCATGGCGAATCACAACCCCAGTGCCCTCCTCACTCATTTTCAAACCGCTAAAGTGGTATACCCGGACC